CCTGACCCTACTAAAGTGGCAGTTATTCACAAGTGGCCAGTGCCCAAAACGAAAAAACAAGTTAGGGCATTCCTTGGATTGGCTGGATACTATCGAAAATTTATCCCATCTTTTAGTAATCTGGCAGCCCCTCTTTCGGATCTTACTAAAAAGAAGAACCCGAACCAGGTAATTTGGACTCCAAATTGTCAAACTGCCATGGATCAATTGAAGGAAAAAGGTTTGAAAGTAACAGTTAATAGTCAGTCAGGAGGATGAGACCCTGAGAAGAGGAGCGGAGTCAGTTAGGGCTCTGTGTGGTGAAGCAGTATAGATTCAGTTAGTTCTTAGCATTTGTGAATATTTCTTCAGCAAGGGAGCTGAAGGTGAAACCTTGTTAGATTGCTTATGTTAAAAAGAATCTAACAAAGGGGGTTTTAGGGATCCCAGTAGTGAAAGACTGGAGATCGGTGGTTTGATCCGGTATAGGACAAACAGAGTGAATATTCACAACAGGGAACACTGAAATAATAAAGTACTTCACTGAAGAAGGAGTTTAAAGGATTGTAACATCAGAAGCCTGAATGTATCTCTACCAAGCCATATTGTAACCATCAAGCTTGTGCCAAGTTCAACATCTCAGTATTGCAACAATTACGCTCTGTTAACAATAAACTTGTTCTCTCTGTGTTATAAATCTGCCTCCTCCATTGATTTTACATTTGGTGCAATCCACTCTACCAAAGTTGCCTCACAACGCAGATAGGGATAAATAGAGACTTCAATTCCAACGTCTCTCTATATATATAATGGTGGCAGTGTAATCAAGCAGTTTTGGGACTTCCTTATAATTTAGGTTGAAATTAGGTGGATTAACATACGTATTTACTTAATTTTGGTAATCCCATTTAGGTGGGATTACGCTTCCTTACACCTTCCTTGGGCACCGATGCCCCATTCTGTACTATGCTGGTCAAAGACCGTAATAAATCACTGATTGATTGATTGAATCGTGTCAGATCAATAGTATTAAGTCCTATTTGTGTATCTGACTCCTTCCAACAAGCTGAAGATAGATACACAGGATTGCATCTCTTCTGACCAGATAGCTGATCATCTGCAAGGAGTTTATCAAAATTGGATTTTTTTACACAAACCAAAAAAATCACTAGTAGGCTTTTTGACATTCTGGAAGCAATGGAGATTTTGGATGATGTCTGCATGCATTCATGTGGCACCAATTACTGTGTTTTCTGCTGTATAAGACTACTTTTTAATCCATGAAAATCTTCTCAAAAGTCGGGTGTCATCTTCTATGCTGGGGTCATATAAAGTCAGGTGTCATCTTATATGCTGCAGGCATCCGGGATACCCGGGGTATGGAATAAAGAGACAGAGCGGCGATGTGCCCAAAGAAACACACCTCTTTCACCCGTCTGGCTCAACCTTGTATCCTATTACCATACTTCCTTCTCTGCCTCTCAAATCTCGCTCCTGAGGACTGTAGTGAAGTGGTGCAAGCAAGCACGTGCGAGATCTGAGAGCTAGAGGAGGAGGTATGGTAATAGGAAAATTACCATATTGAGATCAAATCCGATCTTTTAAAAAAATATATTTGGTGTCCATTGGAAGAGGGGTAGTCTTATAGGGTGAGTAGATACCAAACGCTATATTTTAACTGGAAAACTTGGGGGCCATCTTATATGCCCAGTAGTCTTATACGCTAGAAAAGACGGTACTTCATGTGGGTTTGGTCTGAATCTGAAGTTTATGGTACTGAGATTCTCTGATAGGCAAGGGATGTTTTGTCTATCAGTGCAAGAGAAGCCAATGGTACCAAAGAGTGTGAAGCAATGCTCATAAAACCTGTGAAAAGAGCCATCCTTATTTTGGCTGGTGCGATCAGCCATGTTAATAAACAACTCCTAAAGAAGGGTTTTACGATGCAAACCCCTATTTCAATGGGTTTTGTAGAAAAGTGCTCTGTAATGGGAGTGCTTATCCACAATATCAGCCTCTCCAATAAAAGGAGGAACTTAGAAAAGTAATCTATCAGGGGGATTTGACCCCCCACAGGAGACACGTGTCTTAAAGTATGTTGTTGGCAGCATACATCAGAGAAGAGTCAAGAAAAAAACAAACTGGAGAAGAGAAAGTAACACATGAAATCCCCCATGATGCAGTTGCAATGGTGTGCAAAGCAAAACTGAGGAAATTTGACTAAGAACTGGATTGAACGTGTGTGATATTGGGGGAGTGGGGAGTGTGCTTAGCCAAACTGATCTAGCTTTAGATGTTTCCAGAGATGGTTTGTGCAGGTGGAGAATCTCATAGATGTTGTTACAAAACTATGAAGAAGAAATAATATTAATTATAGTACAGAGAGCAACATGTTACCACTTTCACTGTAACTCAGATCCATAATACCAGATGCATTAAGCTATTTGAAATAATAATCATCATCCTGACCTGGTATAGCATTATGCACTTCAGCTACACCAAACCTGGTGCCTGTCAGGTGTGTTAGATTACATCAAACATCACATATGTCAGCATATCCTATGGCACTGCTGGCTGGATGATGAGAGTTGTACTCCAACACAACTGAAGAGCAGAGATTGGGCTCAATAAGCACACAGGCAGCTCAGCAATGGGAAGATGAACAAAGTACAACATGTTATAAAAATGAGGTAGCTAGAGAAATTATTAAACTTGTGTCAATAACAAAAGTAAATGCAGCTTCAACAAACACTCAGGCAAACCAGGATATATATAAATGTGTATATTTTAAGTTGTTAGATGTGAGCAACACAGGGTTGGTTTCAAATGCAACCAAGGATCTTCTGCACCTTTCCTCCTCCCTGGCTGCCTCTTTTGCAGCAAACCATATTTTTATATTACTGTTGAAAGTAGTAAACTATGTTTTGATGTGATTGGACAAGTTAGAGAGAAACGTAAAGGTAGTGCACAAGCCATTATTTAAATAATGCTAAAGAACGGCAACAAATAACAATTTCACAATCTTCTTGAATTGGGCTACACTACTAGTTAATGAATACCAATGCTCATATGAATACAAATGTTATAACTGTAAATTAATGAGAAATCAATCTCTATGGTGAGTTCTATATTATCCTTATATTCTATATTCAGATTCAGAATGCCGAGTTTCAAATCAGACTTAAAGTTTGCTGTACAGCAGTCTTCTTACCTGCATATCCAGTTCATGGCATCTCTGAGCAATTTCTTCTTTGGTTGATAATGCTTCATTTAATTCTTCTGTTGTTTTCTTTAACTGTGTTTTTAAATATAACACAATTTCATTTACTGAAATCACATAATGATCAATTTCTCTATGGCTACGTTCCAAAGGAATTATTCATGCATGGGAAAGGAATTGTACATGCAGCCATAGTTAACTCTGATAGTTTATCTGCAAAATCTCCCAGTCCCAAAGAGACACAGCATTTGCCTCTTAGGTGCTGACAAGTATGGAAAAGAAATGTATGACACCATCAGGAGTATACATTGCCCATAACTGAATGATTTTTTTAAAAAAATTAAAGCACATAGCTGTAAGATCAACTACTGCCATGGCGCAAACACAAATGTAATCTATAAACAAGAAATAGATAACATAAAACACAATGGGCCCCCCAAACTATAAATACCAGAAATAATGTTTTGCATATTTCAAACTTTCTAAAACCACTTTTCTTTACTAATGCAAGGAATAAACTGTGTCCATTTCAACTATTGTTGTTTTTTGTTTTGGTTTTTTTTTTTTGGTTTTTTGCATACAACACAAACAACTGGGAAATGAAACACAAGGAACACATAACAAAGGTAAAACCTGCCAAGCTCCACGGTTCTATTCCTATTGAGAGTAATACTAAGCCGATTATATTTAGAGGAAGAGGCAATCGCTTTCTTCCAAGCTGTATTATTTGTCTATCTACCTCAACAAGGTCTCCTCGAACAGTAGCAGCTCTACAGTGTTTCAGGAAAGTGATTCTTTTATCAAAACCATGGTTCCTGATCTCTTTTTACCAAGACACATCTCAAACGGGGATCCCATGCATAAAAAGAACATTGTCTGCTACCAAGATATTTCCCCTCCCAACGTATCTTAACATGTATGTATTCTTATTCTTAGCTGGGGGTGGTGACAGCCGACAGGGAGCTCTGGCGTGGGCTGGTCCATGAGGTCACGAAGAGTCGGAGACGACTGAACGAATGAACAACAACAACAACATGTATTCTTATAAGGGAGCAGCATTTATTGTAGTTATGACAGCCATACCCTTTTCCTCAATACATTTACAAAATTAGCAAAAAATATTTGAGAATGGATAGTCACAGAATGTGTGCTGGTATATTTGCGCCTAAAAGCTGCTATGTGTGATGGCCCAAAAAACTTGGAAATACCAATAACAATTTCAGGGTAGCTCCATTGTTCGCATGTTATAACTGGTTTGGTTTATTTCTCTCACTCAGAGGAAGGAGGAATACAATATCCAGGTGCACGTGCCCCATTTCTTTTCTGGTATCAAATAACCTTTGTAGTTGGGAGAAGTTTATTCCACAATTAAAGGACTGAGATATTAACTAAAATATGTAGTCTAGATATATTCTATTCTAAGTGAACATCTTAATTACGTAGCATAAGCTTCATTTCTTTATAACAAGCAAGTGTATGTTTACACACATTTGATGAGTTACACACTTGTTGTAGCTTGCTGAACCTGTTTGTTCAGCAAGGAGGGAAGGAGAAATTTGCAATAGGTGAAGTCTGAAATTTGACTGGATGAGTATCAGAAACACTGCTTCTTAAGTTTAATACCCCCTGCATTTCCACCCTTCTATTTTTTTAGCACAGAGAAAGCAGAACATGCTGTAGAACAGTGGTTCTCAACCTGGGGTCCCCAGATGTTTTTGGCCTACAACTCCCAGAAATCCCAGCCAGTTTACCAGCTGTTAGGATTTCTGGGAGTTGTAGGCCCAAAACATCTGGGGACCCCAGGTTGAGAACCACTGCTGTAGAAGAAAGATTCACTTTGATCACAACTTTGGAAATCAGGTTGATAAAAATGATGTGATATTCTGCTGAATTTATTCTTTAATGGCAACATTTCTGAACCTTTTATATTTTACATTTAATAGTCGGCCATCCACATTTGCAGGTTTGTCTTTTGTGGATTGGATTAAAATGTTCTCTCTAGAAATCTCAAGGTCCTTCCATGAGATTCTCTGGTCAATCACAACAGACAATCTAAAGATTCTAAAGATAAGTGTTTTCTCAGATTTTAAAAACAAGATTAAAAATAATGTTTTACAGCAAATGTGGAGGGCTGACATTAGTACAGATTTGTTTGCTGCTTATACTGAAATTTCTCAAAAGATATTTACAGATATGAATGTGAAAATGCAAAGAAAAAGGAAAGCTCTAGTTCAATTACAACTGTCTAGAAAAATGGCACATTGAGCTTCACTAATGAAAGTAAGAAGAAACATCTGGTGTTAGATACCTGACGATCAAGATCAACGTAAGCATCATTTCCAGCAGTGACTGGAGATTCTTTACTCATCAACTGCAATTAGATTACACTGGATTAGAGAAAGCAAAAGGTTTATTTGTATTCGTTAACGAAACAGGGCAATCTAAAATACAAGGAATCTTAGGGCAAAATCAAGTATACAAAAAGTCAGAAATAATCAATCAAGAAAGTAACTTACATTGACTAATTGGTTCCACAGTACAGTAATCCTTTGCATAAATTTTGAGGGAGTTGAGGAAAGTGGGCAGGGGTAACACCTCTGCTGTTGTTAATGCCATGAACTCTCAACATCTTACATTTCATGTCACTATTTAGGCCCTAAATGAACTTTGTATATTTTCCAGACACATATATATCTTTCTTTGAACACAGAATGTTCAAAATTGCGTATATGTGTGTAAAATAAATGTCACAGTCAAAGTCCCAAATTTATGTAGTGTGCTGAAAAAAGCTGAATAGAATCTTAGGCGACAAGATCCTAAATTAGAGACATTTCTAAATGTTTCGATAACCAGGTTGTCAGGTTCTGTTAGCAAAACACAAGTAGGTAACTTATAACATATATTGGTGAATGGGTGCACAGATGTGATGGCACATACATTTTTAAATGACTCTGAAAAATAACATGACAAAGAGCATCAGGACAATGTGAAATGTGAAATTCTGCTCAGGCATTGCGTAAAATGCCTGGACATCTTTTGTGCTTGATTTTGCATACGAAAACAGAAGAACGGAAGGCCATTATCGGGTTGTACAATTATGCTCATGAAATGACACATGGAGCAAGTGATAGAGAATACCCGCGTCTTGGCCAGATGATTGTGGATTATGAGATTCCTTTGAAGAAAATGATGGAGGAATTTGTACCGCACAGTAAGGAGAGGCTAATCCTAAAATATTTATGTTTACTGCCCAGTCTTATGTGTGTGTTAATCCAAGGGTATATGAACAATTGCTAAAGCAGACCCAACCTTAGTTTCTATAATTAATTCTTTAACACAAGATCCTTTCTAATTTTCTTATCCAAATGCGTATCTCAAACTAATTGGAAAGCAGGTTACCAATGATATAATGGATAGCATATATTTGTTTTGGTTTTTTTTTTAAGAGCATCATACCTAAGCATATTCATAATCTCTTATTGAGATTACCTAATAAGGCATTTTGCAATATTTTAATATAAGGCTGTATTAAACCTATATTTGAGTCCAGTCAATGATGCAAGGAGTTTTGGATGAAAGAATCCTTCATAAACAATCTGTGACTGGTTTTTCTTTCTTTAATTTATATCCCACCTTTCTGCTTGCACTAGGCCCAAGACAGTTTTCATTGTTTACTACTAGATACTGCTATATATCAGAAGAAAATTAAAAATATGTTATGCTCACGAGTTTCATAATACTGATTCTTTTTATTCCAAACAATGATTTTTTTACCCCTCGTCTTCTGGTATTTTTAAGTATATGATTGAATAAGTACTTTTCAATCTGCTCTGAGTCCCCTTCAGGGTTGAGAAGGGCAGGATATAAATATGGCAAATAAAATAAATAAATACTTTTCACAGCATCTTTTGAGGTTCACTGCACTGTTGAAAACTGTAATTGGTTCTGCCTGCTTCATTTCCCTCAAAAAGTATTTTCCTACTTCCTAGTTCCCACAACATTTTTACTTTTTAAACTGTATAGCTGAGAATAACAACCTTCAACACAAAATGGAAGGGCAGTACTCTGAAACTATAATACTGAAAAGCACTTTCACTTTTTCCATCACCAAATGCATTTCAGATTGCTTCCTTCACATTCTGCTATAAAGAGAGCAAGCACAAAACACACAAAGCACTGGTTTTCGTTCACCCAATTATATGCCTCGCCCTTATGCTGAAAAAAAGCCAAGGAGTCAGTGAACTTCCTTACTGAGTCATTATTCAAAAATGCTTTCTGCAATAGTAAGAATAGTTTCACAGCCCTGAAAGTGTTCCCACATTATACCCCTTTTTTCTAGGACTGCCATCTTTTGCTCATTCAATTTCTAGAGAATGCCTGTTATGGCAATGTTATATTTCTGCTAAACTGAAAGAGGCAACTGCAATATGCCTTTCTCCAACTCCTTACCTCCTGAATGGCTGTCATGACAACATGTTGGACAGACTCCTCCATCATCATGATGGTCTGGATATACTCTGTAAGAGACATTTTAGCATGCAGTCATTCATAAGGATAAACAGTCCCAAACTTCCCAAAGTATAAAAAGATTCATTTTTAAAGGTACACTTTTCTGCTAGCTGTAAATGAGCCAAAGAGTCAAGGGATTTTCACTTTGGTAGGATTTCTTTTGTTCCAGAATAAAGGGAATTTATTTTTTGCACACCTGTGACACAGTACACCACTAGTCAAAATTCTGCATTAGTAGCTTGAAAAATACATACCATCAAATACAGGAGTGTGAGATAAATGCTGCTTAATTTTGAGAGATCTCCAGCCACCTTGACTGAAATTAACACTTGCTCAGTAAATTTTCAATGCAAAGAAAACTGATCTTCACTGAGAAAATGGAATAGACATTAACTAGGAAGAAGCTTATAGAAAGCAAATGAATATGAGTCAATCTTGAAAATACAGTAGAGGAAACCAGCCCTGAAAAGTGAACCATTATAGATATAGAATAGATATTTACACAACCCAGATTTGGAAGGAAAGTAACTATTATGTAAGTATGCACTCATGCTTTGAACACACAAATTTAATTGTTGAAAACTTTTTTAAACCTTTGGAACAAAAAATTATTTCCAAAGCTTAAAAGATGCTCTACTAAATATGTTTTAAACCATCACTTTCACATTCCCTTACCTACAGTAGGGTTGCTAGCATGATTTAAAGGATTAGTTCCAGGACAGATGGAAGTACTCCGTCGTAAAATCAGTCACACCAATAATACTGAAGAAAAAGTCAATGTATGGAAGGATGACTCTACAGTGCTTTCTTCAGTTCAATGGGAAACTTTTCTGTGTACAGCCTACGTTAAGAGACTGAAGCAGTAAATGTCTCCCATGAGAATGTATGATATTTTAGCATTACAGAACCATCATACCTTTACACTACATCTTACTGAACATTGGTTTCTGAATTCCATCAGCTTTTCATCATTGTATATATCCTGTTTGGAGTTGCTCAACAAACACAGTCCAAAGTCCAGAAAAGAAGCCAGCTATTTAGAAACTTGCTATTGTTGACTTGTTGTCTAACCTCAAGACTCTTGTGTGTTTACAAAGTAAAGTCTCTTCAGGTTCACCTCTGCATTGAGACTGGATGTCACCCTCCTCCAATGCGTCAGATTTTACATGAAACACTACAAACAACAGACCAAGGTACACCTTTAGCTGGGTGAGTCAAGAGATTTTCACTTTGGTAGGATTTCTTTTGTTCTAGAACATGAATATGTGTCACGCTTCTCTATTTGTTTCATAGAATATGTGATAAACAATACTCTCTCCATGAGGAGCTAGTCAAGGTTTGTAGCATTGTTTCTTTCCTTTAGTTTTGGATATTTCCAAAGGATATCTTTGGAAATAGTGAATGTCTACACTTATTCCTACACTAAAATAGTGAATGTCTACACTAATTCCTTCTGTCACATAACATCAACATCACCAATGGGTCTTTCTCCCATGGGATCAAATGAACATGTACTTGCTGTTCTCTTTGCCTTGAAAAGGGTGTGGGGGTTATTTTTCCTCTGAGCTTTTCTGCACAATATCTCAGTCCACAAATTCGCAAATATTTTTGTCCCAACGTATTACACTGTAGAGCCCAAAATTAACTCAGTGACTAAATGCAACATATTTGTTTGAATGACTTTTATCACAACAGGAGTTTGAGGGGTTTTTTTGTCTATAAAGAAGTAATCGTCCATGACTGAGACTCATGAATACTGTTTAAAACTCTTAATATGACAATTTCATAAAATGCCTATTTTGTACCTCTAGTCAGGAACAAAACACAACTCTGCAGTACTAAACTATTCCACGTATGGTAGGATGAGATATGTCGAAGTAGATAGAAGTATTTTCTATAATTGAAAATTAATAGAAACAGGTATCTCGTATAAAAACACTATTATTCTGATACCACTTATTTAGTACAATGCTTTCTGTTTACATCTTCACCTTGGCTTTTTGGAAGTGAGAGTTCTGCACTCTGGGACAGATGAGTAATAATACAATAATAAGTAAAAACCGGTCAATGGACTACCCACATACAAGAGGAAGTTAATTACATGAAAGACATAGTGTCAGTCACAATTGTCTAAAAAGAAATGTGGGCAGAGAGTGAAGCAACAGTATTTCAGATCAAGGGTATGGATCACAGAATACTGAAACAGGCCAATTATGTAAGCCACTTAAATGTTCCTTCTTGATCAAACGGCAAGATGGAAAATTGATTAGAACAAATATTTAACATCCTTTTTAAAAAATTCTAAATCTCTGAGGCAAATTAGACAGTACATATTTGGGCTTTACAGAAAGGAAAAGCAGCACTTTGATATCAGATTAGAGACTTAGAGCGATACCAGAGCTAACACTACATAGTATGTAAGATGCAAACAAAACATAGGTTTGGATGCCATGCTTTCTACTTTCTGTTCCTGAATATATGTTACAGTAGTCTAAGCATGATGCAATCATGACACTGGTCACTTATAAAAGAAGGGACACTGCTCACACATTAAATGACTTTGGGCAAAATACTCCTGACTGTCACCTCAATCATCTAGGTGCAGAGCTATATCCAAAGCATCTGAAAGTTGAGATATCCTTCAGAGGACACTGAACTTCAGAGCAAACTGTATTCCCAAACATAGATCTTTTGTCTATCTTGAGTTTCAGTTTAGTTATCCACAACTAATCTGTCATCACACCCAAATAGCAAATCAGGACCTCTAGTCTAGGACTTCTTAAATCTTTTTCCACTTGCAACCGTTTTGCCACTGATAATTTTTTATGTGATCCTAGGTATATAATAAAATAGGTATATATAAAATCAAACATTTACTGATAATAAATCAGCATTTGCAAGGTTTGCACACAGGTTGATTTGCCTTTTTGTTGAAGTGTTTTTTGCAGTTCATTTTAAACACTGCGAGCAAGAGAACATGCTTGTAATAATGTCATAATTTGCTCTATTTTACATTCGTCATCTCCGTAAATTCCTAAAAATAAGTAGGACATGAAAATAGCAAAAGTCACCTCACACTAAAACAGTCAATAATGCGAAATATATATCTGTTGTACACTATCATTTTAAGTACTCCATCATCCCACAATGATCTTGCTCATTTTCACAGGATCATAGAATTAGAAGACCACATGGGCCTTCTCAGACAATATACTCAATCAAGACCCCAGAAATGCAATGTTGTATCTACTCATGATGGCATGGCCTCAGTATTATATTTATGCAGTTTGAATTATGTATCTTTAAAATTGAAGTTATGTTTACCTTGTTTTTGTTCGCAGTTTACAGCACAGCCCAAAATAAGCTGAAGCATCCTTCCAAGCTCAGCAGCATCCGAGTGTTCCCCAATCAAGTTGACATCAGGAAGGATGAAATCATTTATTTGTTGCCCCAAAATCTGCAAATAGCAAAATATAGTCAAACCAAAAATGCAGCTGTTTCACACAGGTGAGTCAATATCTGGCATATTTTCAAGTTAGAGAGCCAAAGTAATAAAAGATAAAGGAATGGGTGGCCCTCTAATTCTCTACTGAACTTTAGCTTTCATCAGCTGCAGCCAGCATGGCCAGTGGTCAAAAATTAGGGAGTAGTACATTTAGAGCTTTAGACTTAAGCTACCAAACTCCAGATGAATTGTATGGGAAGGTACTATATGTGATTGAACAATAGTCTGGGAACAGACCTGGACATTTTATTCTGCACATATATCTTTCAGATGGGAGTTCACCTCTGATCCTTCCCTTTCTCTCTCACTCAGGTAGGCAGTACACACATCATTACTAGTCATGTCATGCTCTCATTTGGCCTTCAGATGTTTAGTTGTCAGCTAAAGACTCCAGATGACATAGACATGCTTCTCTTTCCACCAATGAGCCAATGTTGCTTTATTCCACAGCCATGATATAATATCCATTGAAGCCCACTGAGCTGGCTAGTTCAGTCTCACCTAAGATGCTTCTCTACAAAGGAGCCACTAGAATTTAGCTGAAGCCAAAATTGTTTCTATCTAACATATGAACAAACAGAATCCTTTTGGCGAAGACACCATTTATGCATAACTTCCTAACAAAAAGTGATTTCTTTCAAGGTTAAAATAAGCTACCACTAACAAGCACAACAATCTGCTATCACATTGTTAATATGAAACTGATCACATTTGAATATGCAATTAACATTCAGGGATGGATTGTGGTTTTCCCATAATCCTTTAGCACCCTCCATGTCGTTTATGGTTTCTGGAGGCTCATTTGGAAAACGAAAGATACTCCAGTTTGACTTGGATAAACCAACATTAGTATGCATTATTTTTAGGGGTTGGGCATTGCAAAAGGAGAGAGGATGAATAATCCCGGCGAAATGTGGAATCATTCATCCCCTCTCCTCTTGTAATCCCAACCCCTAAAAATAATGCAGACGTTCATTATTGGATCCTTGCCATACTTCTCTCCAAAGCAAACTGATTAAAGTCACATATTTGTTATCAAAAGCCTTTCCAGAAGTGTTAAGACTATACATGAAATATATGTATGATGAAGAAATTATGTTATGAATGAAGCATCTATTGCTGATTAAAAGCAGACGAAGCTGCCAACGAACCTTGGCAGGACTTTATAAACAATGGAGAAATATTGTCGAAGGCATTCATGGCCAGAATCACTGGGTTGTTGTAGGTTTTTTCGGGCTATAGACCATGGCCATATAGCCCGAAAAAACTTACAACAACCCAATGGAGAAATATTCATTTTCTATATATCTCTATAATATTAGAAAGAATGTCCAAAACCTTTATAAATCAGCTTCTTGTACTAAAGATCTGCACCTTGTTCATATTACACAAATAGAACGATGAAAAGTATGATGAAATTGAATCAAGCAGACTAAATCCATAAATAAAAGCCCTTACCTCATGGTTGTAGTCCAAAATTCCTTTTAATATTTTCTTCAGGTTGCTCACCTTTCAAAAGAAAAGGGGAAAAAATAAATATACAGGAACTGGGGTAGAGATTATAGAGACGCCCAATTGCACCCCAAAGTCTGCACAAGTTCTTATTTATAGCTAGAAGCAGAAATCCCTGCTGTTTAAAGCAGCTAATAATTAAGATCACAAAATTATGATTTTGTAATTACATCATTTTCTGATTTTCAGATTTCTCTTCTTATAGTCTTGGAAACAGAAAATAAACCGACATGGGTACTACTTACACCAATGGGTTTCTGATTTGGATCTACATTCTCATGTGCTTTCCATATATAATAATGATACTCTCTGCAAGTCGGAATTGAAAATGTATTTTTGTCTTATGCTGTGAGATATATAGACAAAAGAAGTTTCTGAACCATTTTATGGCAGTATCCACTTGTCCAAACTGACAGCCTCAGAAACAGCTTCTAACATAGCAGAAAGAGCTTCATCAGATTGTGGGTGGGAGACCAAAACATTCCTGTGCACATAAAAACTAGACATGCTCGAAACCACATGACTACACCACAGACTGCATATTAAATACAAATTTATTTCCTTTCTATTCATTTTGTTACAATTTTTGAACCTTTCCTAACAAACTGAAAGATGTAAGATGTAAAAACACGATTCCCCTTCACCTCTTTTAGTTTTTTCGCATGCATCAATAGAAACCAACACTTAACCTTACTTCCTTCCTTAAACACTTTCCTAGAATTGATACTCTAGGCCAGGTGTCTGAACCCATGAAAGCGGATGAAGTATGATTTGTCAGTGATATAAAAAAGTTCCATTTGCTATACAATTAAGTGCAAACAATGCTGAGCATATGCATTCAGGTATACACATAGAAAGTAAAGGATTCATTACCAAACTCACAGAAGTATCAAGCAGGATTTAAGGAGCATAGCTCAAAAAGAAAATATTGATTACTGAGAAATTTAGACCACTCAGTTTCATTTGTCTTAAAGAAGCAAGCTGCAGTAGCTAAAATCTGAATCAGTAAATATTGCGCACATACAGGAAGCTGATTTTGTCAATTCATTTATGAACTGAACACACAAATTTACTGCTAGCAAAGAATATGTTCATGAACAGCATAAGATATTAATGTCCAGTTCATCCATGATATTCAATGAGAGCAACAGTCCCATACATTATATTTTTCTGGATAAGGAGATGCTATTCAACCATGTTAATTTCAGTACTAATATTGTATTATGCGTATCCTAAGAGAGAAACAAATATCTCTCTTAGGATATACTACTCCTGTGATTCTTCAAGGAGATAAACAATACTTGAATTATATTACTATGTCTTCATTTGATAGAAAATATATACAATTCTTTTTAATCATCCTATCAAATTATGTACTTAAATATTCCAAATTATTATGGACATTTAGAACATGTAAGCAAAAGAAGCATTTATCAGAGCTATACATTTTTATTTTGTTAAGGAAGGGCCAAACATTAAAATTATTTATCAGTAACATGTTTATTGCAATCTACTTTTACATTTGTTATTGCTTATAAGGACACAGGTGTGTGGTACAGATAGGAGCCACCAGGAACTGTGTAGATCAGTCACAAATCATCACAAGGCCAGATTATTCACAGGCAAAGAAAAAAGTAATTAAAATTGTATGACATTATTTGTGACACCAATCCCACAAAGAAGAAATTGAGCAAAGATTTCAGCAAGCACATTTGAGACTTCTAAAATCAATAAATGTGGAATGATGACAATAAGTGCAGCAGTCCTTCCCATTGCTTGATTTTTCGGGGCAAAGAGGAATCTGGGATTCAAGAGTGAAGCTCCCATTTTACCTCTAGATCATCAGGTTAGACCTCAATGGAATGAAAAGATGCCAATGGGAAAATTGGCTTTCCCTTCTGCAAAAATGCACTGTAAATATAAAGGAGATTAATTTATACTTCTTACTCATGATGTACAGTGATAGTCAGCAAAAAAATAACATTAAAAGGCCATTTTTAGTGGGAGAAATGGAAAGAGGCAAGAAAGATCTTCACACAATAGAGCTGCTTCCTCTAGATCCATGGTTCTCAACCTGTGAGTCTCCAGGTGTTGTGGCCTACAACTCCCAGAAATTCAAGCCAGTTTAACATCTGAGGACCCACAGGTTGAGAAGCACTGCTCTAGATTGACAATTGGGTCCAATAGGATGTTTGGATTGGGGAGAAGAGATCGAGCATTCAGGCCCCCTGTTGTTGAAGCAGTGTGTAACACATATTCAGCATTAAGTGGAATTAGTTTGAAGGTAACTATGATTCACCAATATCTGCTTTGCTTCTAACTCACACTGTAATTGATAAAAGGAACAACTATAAGTTCTTCTCATTAAATCCACAGGACAAGGTATTAGCCCCTTTTTTCGTGTTGGGGACAGATATGCTAACACAAAATTTTAAATCAAAAACCTAAGTACAATATAGGTAAATTGTACTGAAATGCCACAGAAAAACCAATTACAGACAGAGAATAGGTGGAATATAAAATGGCATAGTTATGGAGAAAAAAAGTCTCCAAAACACATGAGGTTTAAGAAGGAATTAGTTACTATGCGTTTATTTCAGCTTGATCTTTAATTCAAATTAATGTAATTATTATTTCAATCTGTAGCCCACCCTAAGCATTTTAAAAGGGCAGGCTAAAATCCCACATGCACATTTAAATTGCTATACCTTTTGACTAAAATGTCAATATTATAATTATGCAATTAAAATACCTTTAGCCTCCAATTGTCTCCTACTTCTGTTTTGATTCTGTTTAACCAGTTTTCATCAAAGTATGATGGATCTCTGAAAAAAGAAGAGCGAAATGTTTGTTGCCAATATTTCACCAAACACACTTATTTAAAATGAGCTGCTATTCAATAATTTTTCCCATGTACTTGCCAGGATTATATATTACGTGCTAGACACCCGAAGATTCATCCCGAATACTAGATCAGAGCTTTCCAAACTGTGTGTAGCAAAACATAATGAGAAACCTGAGTCTATGTAAAATAAGAAATACTGTAAATCATATATATTTCAAATATAAATGAAAGATTTTCATGAATTATGTTGTGTCCTCATACATTTTGTTATTACAGTTTATATATGTGTCTTTATCTCTTACAAGGGCTTGGTTTAACCTCTGGTTTGCTAGCAAAACTGAATTACTGTGTCATGAAATGATGCATGTTCAAAAAGTGTGGCACAAATATGGAATGTTTGGAAAGCTCTGTACTACACTCTTAACTAATTTTCTATAATTTCATTATCACCTATAGCAATTGTTTTCAAACCAAGGAGGGATGGGATTCCTCACCAAGCCTGTCGTGTATTTCAGTAATAGTACTGTAAATATATGAATACCCACAATTTTGAAGTTGTCTTACAATGCCCTGGAGGACAGAATTACTGTGTGTGTTGCAGGACATACCATTTCCTGGAAGGAGGCTGAAGAAGCCCAGCAGACATGGCCAACACCCAAGCTTGCCTAGAACATTTCCTAAGATCCTCAACTATGCATAGAATTTCCACTGAGGACAAGCAACAATGATTTTATAAAGCAGAAAAACTGGTTTTAAAAGGTTCCAAAAGCTATAAAACATTGGGGATATATGTCTTCCAATAATGTGGTTTGCAACTCTAAATAAACCTCTGAAGATGCCAGCCACATATGCAGGTGAAATGTCAGGAGAAAATGCTGCTAGAACATACCCATACAGCTTGGAAACCACACAACACTCCTTCTAAATAAACCCTGGCTAGTATAGCCAAGATGGTGGGGGATTCAATACAAAGACATGGAGAATCTTATGTCCCAATTTCTTCTGTAAGATGTGGGGATGGGGCATGAATATGTAAATGATGTATTTCACTCAATCAAGGAATGTGGGGTTTCACAGTCTACACAAAGATTAAGTAATTCCCATTTTACAATTCAAAGCCTTTCCATTTCATTTAATTAACTGTGAAACAATTAGAAAGAACTTTATGTTTCATATCTTCACACTTCACTGCATCTAAACATTAATTTTCTTGAAAGCAATCGGTAGACTTCAAAGTACCATGCAACTAATTCAGTAAGACCTGCATTACTTGAAAAGTTGCATCAACCCACTCTCTCTTTCCACACCAAAATACTTTTAAATGTCAAGGGAGTTTCGAAAGATCTTTCTGAGCACTTCAGAATCAAATTCTGAGTCTTAGTTTTAGCTGGATGAATGAATGAAAAGTAGTAACAATTAATCTGGGATAACCCAATCTTGTGAACAGCTATACTGTATATTTTATTTCCAAGTACTGTAATAAAAATAAAAATAAAAATGGCAGCAAAATTTGAAAGTTGCTTTTGTAGAGGCCCTCAAAGGAACATTTAGTGCTGTGCAAATGTGTGGTTGCTACATTTTCAATATCCATTCTCCTGATTATCTAATTTTATTTTATTGATTTAGATACTTCTGTTTATAATGCAAATATTTCCAAATATTTTCCCCAGAGCATTTAAGTAGAACTCATATAATCTTTCCTCCTAAGCTATTCAAAGAATGTATGTTTGTTGCTAGTGCCTGCCTGTACCATTGTATAAGATCAAATGTAATACCTCTGTATAAGATCAAGTCTAATTTCTGTTGTCTTTATGCAAAAATGTAAACAATTCAGTCTAAATTCACAGACCTAAACCCTACTTCCAGTAAATTCACTGAATCAACAGAACTTGCATGATTCAAATTCCAAATGACTCAATCATTCTATTCTAGCTGGGACTAATAACAGGATTTAGAAAAATTATTTAGACCAGAAATAATGTACCTGCCCACATGTTAGAATCATAGAATTATTATTTTGGAAGAGACCACGTGGGCCATCTAGTCCAACCTCCTGCCATACAAGAAAAATACAATCAAAGTACCAGACCCTGTTTAAAAGCTTCCAAGGAAGGAGCTTCTACCACACTCTGAGGCAGAGTTCCATTGCTGAACAGCTCTTACATTCAGGAGGTTCTTCCTAATGTTCAGGTGGAATCTCCTCTCCTGTAATTTGAATGCATTGCCCCGAGTCCTAGTTTCCAGGGCAGCAGAAAACAAGCCTGCTTCCTCTTCCTTATGCATTATTTCACATATTTATACAGGGCTGTAATGTCTCCTCTCAACTTTCTCTTCTGAAGGCTAAACATGCCCAGTTCTTTCAAGATGCTCATCATAGGGATTCATGGTCTCCAAACCTTTGATCATTTTAGTTGCCTTCCTATGGGCGCCTTCCAGCTTGTCAATATTTCTTTTGAACTGTGGTGCCCAGAATTGGACAGAGTATTCCAAGTGAGGTCTAACCAAAGCAAATTAGAGGGGCACCATGACTTCCCTTAATCTAGACCGCATACTTCTTTTGATGCAGCCAAAAATCCATTGGTTTTTTTAGCTGCTACCTCACACTGTTTTTGGTTCATGTTCAACTTCTTGTCCACAAAGACTCTAAGACCTCTTTCACATGGACAGTTGTTGAGCCAGGTGTCACCCATTCTGTATCTTTGCATTTCATTATATCTGTCACGGTGTAGGATCTTACATATGTCCTTGTTGAAATTCATTTTGTGAGTTTTGGCCCAGCTCTCCAATCTGTTAAGGTAATTTTGAATTCTGATCCTGTCCTTTGGAGTATTAGCTATTCTTCCTAATTTGGGAACTTGATAAGCATGCTCTCTAAACCTTCAACCAAATCATTTATAAAAGATATTGAACAGTATTGGGCCCAGGACTGAACCTTGCACCACTCCACTAGTCACTTTTTTCCAGGATGAAATGCAACTATTGATGAGCACCTTTTGTTTTCAGTTGTTTAACCAATTACAGAACCACTTAATAGCATTGCCTAGCCCACATTAGAGTAGCTTGCTTGCAAGAAGGTCATGGGGAACTTTGTCGAAGGCTTTACTGAAATCAAGATATGTTATATCCACAGCATTCCCTGCATCTACCAAGCTTGTAAAAAAGATATAAGATTAGTTTGGCATGATTTGTTTTTGAGAAATCCATGTTGACCTTTATTAATCACAGCATTCCTTTTTAAGTGATTGCAGCCTTCTTCCTTAATGATCTGCTCCAGAATCCCTCGCGTACTGATATCAGGCTGTTTGGGTCTTCTTTTTTCCCTTCTTGAAGATAGCGACAACATTTGCCCTCCTCCTGTCTGCAGGGACTTTTCCTGTTCTCCAAGAATTCTCAAAGATTATTGCCAATAGTTCTGAAACGACTTCTGCTAGTTCCTTCAATACTCTTGGATGTAGTTCACCTAGCCCTGGAGACTTGAATTCATTTGGAGCAGCCAGGTATTCCTGGACTATTTCCTTACCTATTTTGGGTTGCATTTGCCATATTACTTCTTTGGCTTCATACTGGTCAGGTTGAACTTCAATCTCCTTTTGGGAGAAGACTGAGTGTCATCTTTATTCTCTTTATGAAGGTCTAACAGTGCTTTGCAAACTTTTAGAACCAGGGATAGCCTTTTCTCTCAAATTATAATCAAAAGCACACTTCAGCCATACTGTACAACCCTAAGAACAACTCACCCACGGAAGATTTCAACCCTCCTTTGTTTCTTGCATAAGCCATTGATCAGTGTGTCAGCATGAGGCAAGACCAGGACACTGACTCATGCAGAAAGATACCAAGCAGTCTTTTCTGCAGTTGAGTGCTGTGAGCTCAAATAAACCTTTGATTTTTTTCATTTTATTTCGATTGGCATGCTAATACATCCAGACAAACAGATCACGAATTATTGTTCTAACACCTACCTTCCTGCTGTCACGCCTTTCTATTCCTATAACAGTTTTCCCCAAACTACTTGACTTTTGAAACATCAGTGTAAATTATGCTGCTCTAGAGACATAAGATAGTTGGAGCTGCCCATTCCCTCCATTGTCTGCTTGCCTCTTGGCTAGGTCCTCTCTGTGATACTTGTTTGAGTTGAATAGGCAGAAGGAAGAGTTATTTGGATACAGACAGGAATACTTTTTAAATTTGTATGTAAGAAACTTTTTTTGTTTGCAGGATTTAAAACACTGTGAAGATAAGCAAATTTAAAGTATCTATTTTGTGTACAGTTTTCTTATGCCAATTTCTACTATTGAAAGTTAGCAATTATGTTACTGAGCCAAACTTGGTGCACGTATCCCTCATGATCCACCTTAAAAAAATCCTGACAGGGTGGGGACTTTTATATCGATGTCTTTTCTAATTAAAATATGTTATGTAATTTTATTCCTTTTCATTCATTTTAAAGTTGGAGCAATTGTTTGAGAAGATTATGAGAGTTGTCCAGCCATATCTGGAGAGTAGAATCATTCCCACCCATGGTCAAATATCTGTCCCCCTTTGCTAGGCAAGCTGGGGATGATGAGAATTGAAGCCCATCAAAAAGGCTAATCCGTCTGTTCCGTTATGGGGAAAGCCACAAATTATAGCCAAACCAGATCTGTTGCTGATGAAAGTTGAAGCCTGGCCAGATGTGGGACTGATAGAAGTTGCAGCTGAACAGACCTAGGGCTGATGGGAGTTGCACCCTAACTAGGTCTCAGGGGATGATAGAGAATGATGCATGCTGGAATTCAGCTTCATCCAGAGATGGAGCCCAACCAGATCTAGGATTAATGGGAGTTGAAGCCAGACCAAATCTGGAACTGATGAGAGTTGTAGCCTGACCAGGTCTTGAACTGATGGGACTTGAATCCCATCAGCTGTACCATTTTATAAAAGTTACCATTTGTTTTATATTGGGACCATTCATAAAAACTGGAAATCAAATAATGAATA